CCGGAGGACCCCAAGGCCCTGGGGCGCCTCTTCAGCGTCCCCGACTTCGTGGGCGACGCCTGCAAGGCCCTGGCTTCCCGCGTGCGCGGTGCCGTGGCCGCCGTCACCTTTGACGACTTCCACAAGGTCTCGCTCGGCCGCGTCCCTGTCCCCCCACCGTGTCCCCATCCCTGTCCCCGCACCGCGTCCCCGCCTTCACCCACCTCACCCACGGCCGCCACCAGTGCCCCCCTCCGTGTCACCCCGGGTGGCCCCGATGTCCCCATGACTCCCCAATGTCCCAAGAACTCAGCGAGGTTGACCTTCTCAGCCACGTTTGGGTTTGATGAAGCCCCGTGTGCTCCCCCCCGCCATGTCCCCGCCATTCCCGATGTCCCCAAGCGTCTCACGTGCCCCTGCGTGTCCCCAGAACTCCAATCGTCTCATCTGCTCGGCCGTCTTTGGCTTCGATGACGGCGGGCGGCTGCGGCAGCAGGTCCGCTTCGCCCCCAACGGGCTGGTGGTGACGAGCGTCGACATCCAGAGCGTGGAACCTGTGGACCAGCGCACCCGTGACGCCCTGCAGCGCAGCGTCCAGCTGGCCATTGAGATCGCCACCAACTCCCAGGAGGCCGCTGCCAGGTCCCCATGTCCCCCCGCGTCACCTCCCCTCCCTCCCGCCTCCCCTCCCAGCTGGACGCTGCCAGGTCTTGGTGTCCCTTGCATCCCCAAATGTCCTTCCCTGTCCCCCACGCCCCGCCACGTCCCACCTACCCCCTAAGTCCCCCCGCGTCCTCTGGTGCTTTCCTCCATCCCCTGCTGTGCTCCCCGTACCAACCGTGTCCCCCCACGCCCCCCGTGTCCCCCCCACGTCCCCAATGTCCCCCGCGTCCCCGCCCCTCTGTCCCCTGTCCCCAGGCACGAGGCGGAGCGGTTGGCGCAGGAGGCCCGGGGACGCCTGGAGCGCCAACGGTTCCTGGATCAGGCGGAGGCTGAGCGGGCGCGCAGAGAGCTGCTGGAGCTGGAGGCCCTCAGGTCAGCCATCTTCCCAGCACGCACTGGGGTCGCCCGCCTTCCCAGGGGGTGCTGGGGTGGGGCGCGTGACTCCGCTTCCTCCTCCCTCCACCCTCCTCCTCTTCAGCGCGGCGGTGGTGAGCGCGGGGGCGGCGCGAGCGGAGGCACAGGCCCAGGCGGAGGCTGCCCGCATCGAGGGCGAAGCCGCCATCCTCCAGGCCAAGCTGAAGGCTGAGGCCAACGGCATTGAGACG